AGGAAGAGAAAAAATGAAATTGCTCAAGATTCGATCTATAACCTAAGTATTCAAACGGAACGAAAATAAGAGGATGCCTCAAGTAGAAATAAAATTACATGTTGATAATATTTTCTATTTTTTTGTACGAATTCTCATTTCATTACAGTCTGGACTTTTCGCGACAGTTGGGATGCCAAAAACAACCAATCTTTTATCTTCAGTGCCTTTTTATGCATTTATTATGCTTCTCTAAGGCTGTTGCGTAAATACCTTGATGGTTATTGAATAAGCGATAAAATAATGATAATTTTATATTGATCATGGATCAATTGTGAAACAAGGTGCAGGGAAAACAAGAGACCCCTCCAAATAAAAAAATAATTAAAAAATCACCCCAAAATCCGCTTTGTCAAAAAAAGTGCATGGAATGGACGAATTGCGAACCCCCCGTTTCCAGATGAAATGTATGAGCTGTCCGCCACTAGCCTTTTCTAAGTGATAGTCCAGATGATGATGCCTGGAACACTGTACAGGACTGACATCGGCATTTCGATGTTCTTATCACTGTTCCTACCGCTCAAGCCTCACTCCTTCAGACAAGGAAGTCATGTTCGCCTGCCGTCGAAGCTCGGAGGGCGCCACATACCGCCGTCTCTCGCGCTCTCCAGAGATGGCTGTAGCACGAAGCTCGAACACTCCATGTTGACTAACACCGAGACATAAATTGCGAACTACTTTACATTGAGAATGGTTTCTTCCTATTATATACAGCACTTACTCAACGCTGTTCAGGTCATTTTCATTCAGGTCACGGTAACATTTTTCACAATAATGTTCCGGGCACTAAATATTCTAACCTAGTTTGCTGATATTCGTATTCTTTACATACAGCGTAATACTCGAGACCCTCGTTTCACAAGAGTATCCTATTAATTCGACATTTTTGTATTTTATAATTGATACTTAGAGGATCACTAATACGGGAGAGTTTTGATCGACGGTACCTTCGGTTTGTTGAATTTGCTGCAGTTATTGTTGAAAGATTGGGGTGTGCGTTACAAATACGGAAGAACATTCAATAAATAATTTTAAATCAGTTGTCCTTTGGCACACGCGTCAACGTAACATATGTTGCTTCCCTAGCGCGTCCATCGCGAGTACGGCGGCGAACGCCCTGCACGTTGAAAGTGTATCCAACGATTTGAACTTATGTGTTGTTTGTTTTTTTCTCTTGGCATCCTGGTTGCAATATTTACTGCATCAACGAACCATATGGTGCCAAGCAGATCACATTAATCCGAATTGCTTACAGATATCTGCAACAGATGTGAACGTCAAGCAAGAACGGCGAGGTAGCGGATTTGAGTGTAAGAAGTCCTCCTTTCAAAATTGCCAGAATGTACTGTTGTTGGCCGCGCGGCTCTGCGTGAAACGGTGGCCTCGAACCACTGACCCCCGGGGACCAAGGCGATCGATGAGCACGGCCGTGTTGCCACCGCCACTACCGCCCCCGTTGCCGCCGTCGCCGCCGCCGCCGCCGTGCATTAGGAAGCGCCGTTCCCGACGCCTTCGCACAGGTCGCTCCGTTCATGCATATTTCATCCCAGGGTTCATCTCCAGGCGCCGTTTCTGACGCCTTCCTTCCTCTCCCCTCCCCCCGCCACCTCGCACTGCCTCCTCGCCTTCATTCGGGGCGGCCAAGTGATGCGTGGAGTTACCTTGTTCTCCCGTCATCGACCGTGCAATATTGCCTGCAAGGCAGAAATAAGAGGCACGATAAGGGGCTAAATTCCAGAGTAGATTGTGCGGAATTTTCCGTCTTCGCGTCTAAAAATGTTTCTATAGGTATTTAAGAAGTAATTGACGGTTGTTGGAACAATTTAAATAAGTAAATAATAGTAATATTTAATTATTAATTGCCATTAAAGTATTTCTATTTTGTTTTAATAGTGCTCGCATGCTAGGTCAAAGGCAACGTCAGATTATTTACTCGAATTGTGTAGTCAATCTGATCTTGACGTACTAACTGACACTTTTCATCGTTATTAGATCTAATAATCTAATTTCTTTCGTTTATGTCCAAAAATAATGTGTAAATATCTTTAAAAATAATCGTCAATAATGTTTAGTTTCTCGTCTACTAAATACTTATGTGCAAAGAGCTAGTATTGTAAAGCTGTTACGAAAAAAACTATTTTTCGATAGAAAAACAAATATCGTTGAGTCTGTGATACCGAAAAAAGGATGATTCTTATTCCCATATGTAATGGATTACTTCCTCTAATACTTTGTGTTGGCTCATCCACGTTTTGTGGGTCCTTGATGCCGAAAAATTGGTTTGCGGCAGAGCGTCAATCTGTCCGTCTGTGGACAACTCTAGCGTCTAAACAATTTACAAACTTTTCTACAAAACCGATATTTCCCTTTGGATCTGGCCGCACTCGAAGCTCTGCGAATTTGAAACTAATATTTTAATTTTGGGGGGACTTCACATGAAACATCGACACTTTCAACTTCTTTAACAAAAAATGGCTCAAAACATTTTTTATGCAGTTTGCTTGCAAATATAATAACAATATTGTAGAATGAAGAATATTGAAAGTGATACATAGAACGTTTTTGAAAATACGAGCGGTTTTTTGTAATTTTTGCTTGAAATGAAAGCTTTTGGAAATATGATAAATAAATAAAGATACCAGACAACATCTTTGTTTATTTATCATAATAAAAAGGTATCTACCTCACCAGCAATCTAATTAATACTGTTGGAAATAATATTACCTCAAAAACGGCTTCTATTTTTTTAAGTTATTTTTTCGCGATGAGTAAGTTTTAAAAAATGGCTAATTTTTGTTAAACATTCTACATTTTTGAGAATTGCTAAAATTTAAAGTTTTGTTAAAGACATAATAATGTTTTATTAAAATATGTTTGCAAAATAAATTTATTTGAAGTTGTTAAGTTATTGGCCTATTTATGCACAAATTCAAGAAACGAAATGTACTTTTTACGCCTCCTCAGTTACGTAACTATTGCCCATGCGCCTACTTAAAGGGTTAAGCAATTGATTAATATTTCTGGGTAGGTCTGCTACGTTCATATTCACATTAGTCTCGATAGCTTTGTGAATGTTTTATCGCGAGAGGTGGCGGAATTCATCTTCTGCTGGTCAGTGAGATCCGGCGCCGCCTTTCACATCAGTTTGCGGGACGCACCGCAGCAGCGGGGACTAGTTTTATCCTCTCAACTGGTCTTCTGACATATTGATAGTGCAATGCGTGTATGTGTGTGTGTGTGTGTGTGTGTGTGCGTGTGTGTGTGTGAAAAGACATGATAAGGCAAGGAAGAAGAAGAAGAAGAAAAGATCGCGCGCGATCCGTGGCCCGTTTGTTACGGCACGGCAGACACGCATGCCTGCACTCGACGTCTGAAACATAATTTGTGACACTTTTCTTCGAACTGGCAACAAAACAGAATCAATGTGTCATTCATATGAAACACGAGTTCGTTGTGTTGTTTTTAGTTTTATCCGCGTAGTTTACGAACAAAAATTTTACAAATCCATTTTGTAGAATACGGACTCTGGTCGGACGATTCTCTGAGCAAAATGCCTAGTGAGTAAAAACACACATTATGGGGCCTGACACACTCTGCGCTCCTCCCCTCTCCACCTCATTAACTAGAGTGCCATTAGTAGGCTCTATTCTTCGTTCCGTTTCAAAACATTTCTCTCACAAATGCAGCAATAATAGGAATTATTAAATATTCAGCTGACGTTAATTTGTTAGAGAATTTTTGCTTTCTCATGTAGTGCTTACACAGTAGATATTAAGTATTCTTGTACAGCAGCGGAAACAATAATTTTCGACAGAAAAGTTTTTCTTGGTCCGTGAAGGTCCTGGTAAATCTAGAAAACTGAGTAATTATTGTTCTTATTGTAAATTACTCTCTAATACGTTCTGTAATCAGAATCCATCAATTGTGGATCCTTGATGTCGAAAAATTGGTTTTCGGCAATCAGTCTGTCTGTTCGTGTGAACAGCACTAGCACTCATCACCAAAATTGATATTCCACAAATGGTCTGGCTGAAGTCGCAGTCCCTCGAATTGGAAACGGATATTTTAATTGGGGGAGGGGACTTTGCATTAAGCTCCAAATTCGTTTTCTTAAATAAATTTCATTATCAATGAGGGTATTGTACAGTTATGATAATGGCATAGGTATGATTTTCATTGCAACTACTGAATTTTCTAACATTGTAAAAGTTTAAACTTTTTACCTTCTTCACCACAACATTTTCGAAACATTTTTTGTGGTAACGAAAGCTGCAGCTGTAAATTAGATCTTTAATGCCAAGAACGATTTCGAAAATATGAGTAATATTCGCATATTTCTTTGTCAAAAGACGAAAATGATTCGGGGGATTTGAAAATGCTCGGGAACTATTGGTATAATCTTTCTGAAGTTGGGAGCTCACTTTGAGTAATCAGGGCAAGCTTGTGTGAATTTATTTTTACTTGTCTGTGTCATTCTTGACCTGTGGATACTGTTTCAATTGTAATTTTAACATGTATGTTTGTTTTGTACATGGGTAAGAACTAGCAACTGTTTCTGATTGCTGAAATAATTAGATTAGCACCTTGTGCGTTCCGTTTGGTGAAGTTTTTCATGAGATGTCTGAAAACTGATATGGCAGAAATTGCAATGTTCCATGTATAACGTAACATTTACTAAGAAAGTATGAGGTTTTGTTGCTCCTCTAGTTCTAATTAGAATTTGTTAATGAAGAGAAATCTATCTTTATTGGGGATTGGTGGGTGTTCTCATAGGGTGCTTTTGTGTTAGATAGCTCGCACAGGTTGCAGGAATGTATGTAGCTACTGAATGGTGTGTACCCCTATTTTCAGAATTTGGCACAAGTGGAAGTTTGCTTAGGTGCTGGTATTTTTAACTTTTTTTTCATTTTGATGTGTTAATTGCATAGTAACTTATCGCTTGCGACGATGTGTTGTTGCAGCGAGCCCCAGGGAATCTGCTACATCGAGACGTCGAACCTCGATGGCGAGACGAATCTCAAGATCCGGCAGGCGCTGCCCGAGACGGCGCACCTCCTGGAGACGAAGGACCTCTCGCAGTTCACGGGCACCATCGAGTGCGAGCTGCCCAACCGCCACCTCTACGAGTTTGCCGGCGTCATCAAGGAGCATGGCAAGCAGTGAGTCTCGTTCGCCTCTTTCTCCGAACCCCGGTCGCACGTGCAAGCATCCAAGTTACGTTTTTCTAACAAACGCGGCCAAAGATCATCACTTACTGATGCGTTGAATGATTAGAATAGGCAAGAGTTAATTACCAATACTAAATTTCAGATTATTACAATTTTATCTTTATTATTTGTTAGTATTGCATAGGGATATGGCTCAGGTCATCAACATGTAACTGCAATTCCTCTGATCGGGAGGTCTAAGGTTCGAGTCCATACGGTGGTGGATTTTCGACACTAGCTACAAAGCTAGCCTACAAATTCAACCGCTTAGCCGCACTATTATAGAAGGAGAAGAAAGAAAGGGAAGTGCTACGTCTCTCTTGAGAAAATTGTCCATTGATCTTCAAGTGCCCTAGTAGCAGATATGTGAAATGTGACGTATAAAGCAATCTGAACAAGTTGGTAAACAAATGTTTTCTTATTGTAATCTGTTCTTTAAAGTTAGTTCGTCAAATAAGGCCTTGTAAAATTTTTTCGTGTATTTATTTCTTGATGTTAAGGCATTTTTTCTCAAATCCCTCCAATTTTTTTCTTTACATTATTTTCTTTAGATAGAGCAAATAGACTCTCAAAAAATGGCTTTGATCTTATTATCCGTGAAGTATGTGAATTTTCGAAAATTGCAGTTAGAATTAATTAATGAAAGTTCGAAAAATACACACATACTGCTGTTTTTGTATCTCCATGCACCAATTTCTGTTCTACCAGCAATAAGACCGAGTTCTATTCTGCTATTAAGAGACCTAAATTTTAAGATGTTCAAAAATGTCTTTTAGACGCCGATAGGTAGCAGCTGGAATGAGGATAGGGGCAAAACCGAGAAGCTAGCCCAGAAAGAAATTAGGGAACTAACTAGTACGGGGAAGTAAGTGCCATTCTTTGGCTCCTCTAGTTCGATCGCCTGATGAATCAAGACGTAACAATTCATGAGTAAATGCCGAAAAGAGAGTACACTAATTCACCGCTTTTCACCTATGTTCTCATAATGAAATAATAAAAATTGAAATAATAAAAAAACGCATGTTTTGTAGCATTATTTCCGAATATCGTGAGGGAAATTATTCCACGAATGTCTTCGAATTCGGCCCATTGATTTGTCGTGCCGAGAAGCATCGAATGAGGAATTGATCTCCTCTGTAGGTGGCGAAAGTCACCCAAAAAGCGTTTTAGTTGCTTAGAAAGGCAAAAACGTTTTTTTAGAGAATTGTCTCAGGAGCCTTTGGATGGATCCGCAAAAGCAGATCCCTACCGGAGACAGTCTGTAGAATGACACCTCGTTTGTCTCGATTGGTGGACAGGAGGCGTCCAATCGTGAGTGACGCGCGGACAGTCGGACGCAGGTTACTCGATTGGATATTGATCCCCCTGAAGACAACCATTAATCAGAAGCTTCTGACAGCAATGTTTGCAGAACTTTCGTATTCTAAAGTACTAGTGCAAGCGTTTCAGGGCATTTTGCATGTCTGTTGTGCTCCTGGCAAAATAACAAAGATATATTATTTAAAGCGCTGTACGTGAGAAAAGAAAATGTGTGCAAGACCAGAATCCGCTTCCGTAGGGGATAAATTACATCATGCCCATACGTGGGACTTGGAGGTGCCTGCATCCATCTGCACAATGCATATTATTTACTAACAAGCTGTGTCGCGTCTTCAACGCTTTTAACAATTTTAATTTCAATGTTTTTTTTTATACCAGACAACATCTTTAATTTACCGTATTTAATTATTGCAAGGTCTCTACCTCACCAGCGATCTAATTAATTTTAAATATATTTTCATAGTCATGTACTTGGGTAGACGTAGATTATAATAGATGAGTACTAAAAATAGTGTTACCCAACAGTAGTCTGAGACACTTCGCATGCGCCAATTGGTGGACCGATAGTGACGAAAAGACGAACAAACGCAGGTTACTGTAGATATATGTAGGGTGTTTTGGATGCGATGCGTAGGTCGGGTGTGTGGATGGATGTTGAAGAATTACTTCGATTACTGGGCATGTCAGTCTTGTCTGACCGTCGGAGCTAGCGTATTTTCATTGTTGAGAGATTAGTATCCTTCAACCAGACGCAGGGTCTTAGAGACATGACTTCTTGTGATAAGTCATAGTTCAATTTTCAATGATTGAGATAAATTCATTTATATCAAACCTATTTAATTTTTCTGATACGTAACATTTATTGAACGATAGTGACATCTATTAATTTCCAAAAACCCACATTAAATTACTCTAAAATCAATTTACAGATAATTGCACTTATTTAGAATTCGGTTTTTCCTAATCCCCTTCTTTGTACCCACCCCTGGAACTCTTGGTAGGAAAAAATATTACTCTCAGAACTTGTTCCTCTCCACTTGTCTTTATATTCCAAAAAATTCTGACTAGTACAAGGAGAGGTGTGGAAGCGAGCATCCTATGACAGCACTTCGCGCAGTGGAAATTAACGATCAGATCCGGCTTACCTGTTGATCCTTTAATTATCATTTGAATATCTGCGATAGAGGAAAGACACGTGGATTGTGGCGGTTATTCCCGTTAAGATGGGCTGTTGATATTCATGAGTAGAGTTGTTAGTATGCGGTGTAAAGTCACCTTTTAACCCTTTTAGCCTGCGTGGAGTTGACTTGAACTTGCCGTTTTTAATTTGTCTATACGTTTCATGCAACTACGATTATTCCCGTCCGAGTAGCTCCACTGTTTCGTTCAAGGCACACAGCCAATGGTGCAAATGGTGCTTCTAGCACGTATTGTTACTTGATTAAAGGTGGATTCCATGTGAACACTGCCATACACTGATTTTGACTTTCTCGCTCACTCCGTAGAATAGAGAAAGTATTGTAATGCTGTTTCAAAAAGTGCTATTTTCGAGAGAAAAAATGGTTGTTCCGGATACTGAAAAATCTGTTTACAGCAAAACGTATATCTGAACTACTGTGATCAATTGGGAAATAATTTTTTTGCCCTAAAAATCTGGACATATGCTTTTAAAAATATGCATTTAAGAACTCAAAAATATGAAATGTGCACTTTAATATGCAATTAAAATTAACAATATTTTTTTTTTCATTTTGTTATAGTAGTTAACGAAACGAGTGTATAAATAAGCGTATAATTAATTGTACGATGTGGTATGATTAAAGAAACGAGCGACGATAGGAGCGAGTTTCTTTATTTACCACGAGTGCAAAAATATTTTGCACGATATATTGCGCGATTCAAAAATATTTTTATTTTGAATAATAAAAGTATATCTTTAGCATTCCATATTTACTTTGATGATGTCATTTTCATTCCGAAGAAGACCAAGACTATGCCTTGCCTGTGTATTTACGATCACCATAGTGACTTAATGAATTTAGAAAGCATGTAGGATTACAATAATATTCCGGACGAAATATTAGAAGAAGCTGGAAACGCAATGAATGCATTGCTCCCTACAGAAAGTAAAAGTGTCTATGAAAAAGAATATAATCTATACAAGTCGTGGAAAATCGCTAAGGGAGTCACACATAGTAATGAAGAAGTGTTATTAGCTTATTTTTCAGAAGGGTAAATATTATTGACTTTTATATTTTTCACATTTGTAACATTTTTACAACAAAAGTTTTATATTTATTCATTTAAGTTACATTATTTTATTTATTAAGTTACATTATTATTACATATAAGTTACATATATTTATTCATTTAAGTTAATATTATGTGATTCTTATAGTAATCAGTTGTATTCCAATAGTAAGTAAGCTTAGATGTGTTCATAAATGTTTGTTTTTCATGTTACACGCAACCTTTGAATTTCAACTTTTTGTTTATTTATTTGTGTTTCCGTAGAGACTTAAACGATTTTGAGCCTTTTGCCGAGTTCTCATTGGTAGTTGCGTGGTTTTAATTGCACGCGTGCCTTTAAAGTAGTGATAATAAACGATTTTTCATTTAATTAATGAGCATAATTCATGTAGAAAACGAAAAACTAAATAATTTCATCAATTCTATTAAAAATCGTTGATTATCACTAAGTTTATGGCATTCGTACAATTAAAACTTAATCGTGCAATTAAAAGTCTGCAACAGCCAAACAGAACTCGGAGAACTGATCGAAATCTTGTAATAATGTATCTATAATACAGACGTTTCCAGACGGCTATGAAACATGAACAAAAATGTTCATTACATATTAGCACATCAAAAACATACAATCAATGAACGAATGAAACAAAATTATAAACGAATAATTATTATCACTTCTAAGACAGTCATGTTAGTATTTGCAGTATAATAAGTTAAATTAGAATCTATTACCCTACTCATATTTGGCATCAATCATCCTAACCCAGAAGTCGCTTTATATTGCACAGATATATTTACTTTCTCCTATTTGAACGTGACGGCCCAGTGAGAGCAGTTGTTTAGGCAAAAATCCATAATCCGTTTGGAAAATCTAGTAAATTGTTTATAATTTAAAATATCGATATTCTTCTTTACACATTCCACGTCATCAACATAAACAAGTATGACACTAGCTGACTAATGGAACAACATAACACTTTTATTCATGTTAAATATTTTACGTGTAAAACATTTGGTCTTAGCATATTACGCATATAAAAAATGTAATCGTCAATTGTATTTATCCGCTAGTACATCAGCAAAACATCTGAGTCAAAACTGAATCGTCTTTCTCCTTTTCAACATTAACATGTGTTGTTCTCTCATACATGCCCTTACTTTTCGAACGAAGTAATGCTTTCATGGCTTTGTCTGCTTCTTCAACCGGAATACTTTAAATAGTTTCCATTTTCAAACGTAATTATCGAACACAATTATTTTCTAAAACACTAAGGTGATCATACATGAAAAAACTGCAAGGCCTACTAAAACAGGTCTTGTTCAGAACCAATATGACGTCATTAGATGCATACCTCTAAAGGTAAAGATATGACTGAATTTCTCAAAATCAAAATTAGTCTTGAATGGAAATGTAACAATATTGAAGGTAAAACGTGAATAAAGGGATATACTTGCACTCATGCTAAATAAGAAAACTCGTTCCTATCGCTGCTCGTTTTCTTGATCACACCATTCAAGCAATTATACCTCTCCTTATAGACTACGCTACTCACTATAGACCAACGAACTGACGGACCAACGAACTGACGGACCAACGAACTGACGGACCAACGAACTGACGGACCAACGAACTGGCGGACCAACGAACTGACGGACCAACGAACTGACGGACCAACGAACTGACGGACCAACGAACTGACTGACGGAGCGACGTGAATGGCACAGCATTACATTTTCAAGGTAGTGCAGAGCTGTTTATTTGAAATGGGAAAACTGCATTGAAACCATTTTCTTTTCATTTACTATTAATTTGTTATTACGAAACCAATTTGAAATATCTGATATACTATTTACGGTTTCTTTATTGCAAAAAATATTTGTATCAACCGCAAAGAGAACTATTCTTCCGTTTCTAATCATCGAGGGCATATCGTTTACGTATACTAGGAAGGACCCTAAAATCGATTCCTGTATTTGCCTGGACATGATCGAAGAAATAACGGGAAACTATAGATCAGAGTTGCCAGACGCCAGAATTCTATTCCAGACGGGCTGAACTCGATCCAGCTTAAAAATGTCGAAAGTTTGGTTTTATCAGTGAATAAATAATCTTTTATTTGTTAGCGCACTCAGTGCGCCGCGCGAGTACTTGTCTACCATTGTTAATATTTACAATAGCGGCGAATAGTTTGCATTATTGCATTTATGATTACTTGTGTTTCGAATGATGCTTTATAAAATTTATCGAAAACTCAAAAAATGTTCTGTGTAAACGAGCTCAAAATTCAACGTTTTCAGAAACGCTTAGTCGCCATTTTCTCAAAAACGTCTTCAATTTTTTTCTTTAAAGGTTTTGTACGGATAGTGGTAAATACTCGGCTTAAAATGACACAAAATTAATTTTGCTGTTTTATTTTTCTTCACAAAATACGTGAAGTTTTTTTGTTTTGTTTTTTAAATATATCTAGCGGCGTTACTACGCTTATTTCCAGTTATTGGTATACATTTTTTCGTTACATAGTGGAAGTGCTTCAGATGACTACCAATGAAGTTTTTTGAAAACTCAAAAAAACTTCTGTGAAAAAGAGCTTCAAATTTCGCATTTACAGGAATAGGTAAACAACATTTTCTTAAAAACGGCTCCAAATTTTTCACCGAAATTGTCCTTACAGGGCAAGGTTTTACTCTTCTTTAATAGTATTCTTAAAGTAATATTTCGGTTCTACTATTAGAAAATTGGGAAATTCTTTTTAAAAAAATGTGCTTTGGGCGGCGATGGTTGGCAGCTGGCAACAGGATGCGCCAAGGCTGAAATGCTAGCCCAGATGAAATAGATTAGAAAACGTAACTATAATGAGAAAGTCTGACATTGATTAGCACCACTATTTTTTTTACTATGTTTGTACTACGTGAGATACTAAAAAAATGTGCTTGTGAAACATTGCAAAAATCTCTGAAGTGACTACCAGTTGAATGAATGAATAATACTGCAATCCCTTTGAGTTTGATTGTCTATAAACCTTGTGGATACTATAGAAATTAAATAATATTCATCAGGCACCCTGGGCAAATTTTTAACAATATTCAAACGCAAGTGACTTTTGTATTTGTTCTGTGCTATTGCCAGTTCAGCAACAAACAGTTTGTGAAATAATTTTCCAAATAATGGAAAATGGCCCCATTCTTTGGTTGAAATATCTAAATCATTTGAATTTTAATTGGAGAGTAGCCAGCTGAGAGTCAGTTACTCTGCTGACTACCAAGTGCATAAACATACTGATAACGTGGCAGAGACACTGTGAATCCTCACTCTCCTTACCCAACCACTGAACTGCCCGTCTATCCTCTTTGATATTATTGTTGTTTTTTTTATTTTCCTTTACACCCTAAGGAATAATCATAATTAAATTTTAGGTTGATGTCTAATGTATGACGTTTTTAAGCACAGAATACTTTTGAAAACGTTTTTTTAAATTGAAACCCCTTTCAAGATTTGGTGTGTGACCTAATTCGAAGTTTGCGAGTTCCATAGCCCCAGTGCGGTTCTCCAGAAACCTATGTTGCTGTGCCTCTGTAGCTAAGGGTTTGCAACGTTAATTGACTATTGCAAAATGGGAAACATATTTCCAAATAATTGTTAAACTTCCAACTGTAACCAGGAGGTGAAATATATAATATGTCATTGAATTGTGCTCGTATCTCCGTAGCTCAAGCGGATAGAATAACTGATCATGTTCCAGGAGATCCAGCTTCAAATCTTTGAAATTTCAGAACGTTCTTTGAACATTCAAAACATAATTTACAACTTATTTATTTGCTCACTGATCGTAATAACTGCAATACAATTCAGACCCTGATGGGTACAACTACAGAAGCTGTATAATTTTTGTGAAACCAAAAATTGATTAGCAGCCTTACAGGAAGAGTATCAGAGATTTGGAAAAGTCATGAGTATGTGTGGATAGAATAGGATTCTCATTTGCCCCCTTATGCTGTAAAAATCATTCATTTTTCTTATTGTTTAATGTCTTCATTTATAATTTTTATAGGGGACAAGCTGTGGGCCCAGACCAAGTGGTCCTTCGAGGTGCAATGCTTCGTAACACAAGCTGGATATTTGGAGTGGTGGTCTATACTGGACATGAGACCAAGCTGATGATGAACTCTACTTCGGCACCTTTGAAACGCTCCAGTGTTGACAAGTTGACTAACACACAAATCCTAATGCTGTTTTTCATACTTGTTGTTCTGTGCCTGCTTTCTGCCATCTTCAATGAGGTCTGGACCAAAGACCATTTAAAGACTGACTGGTACCTGAGCATGGACGGTTAGTGGAACTCCTAGAATATTTTGTGATATACATAAATCATGAATGTAAGTTGAATACTTAGGAATTCACAATAAAAAAGAGATCAGAGCATCTAAGGACCATGGAAAAATACAGTCTGCCTGAAACAAATCATCTATTTCATCCACATTTCAATATTGTTTTGTACAAAACAGTGTCTGACCAAAGAACAATTACACCAGTATTGGGGAGTAATTGAGTAAAAGTAATTCAATCATGTAATGATTGCTTTGTTAGAAATTTTAGAATGTAATCATTACTTTTAGCAGAATACACTTCTTACTCGTAATTTACTTTTTTGATAAAAAATTATAATCTTTAGTTTCTAGTAATCATTACATTGCAATTAATCATCACTAATGCTTTAAATATGCCTATTTAGTGCTTTTCGCTTGCAACTACCTTGCTGGTTGGGAACTAATAATCCTTGTGAATTCCCATTTACAGTATAGGAGAATTTCTATGGCTCCATCCCAGCACGCTGAACAAAGATTAGTTGGTTTAAACTAGTTCGTTCATGAGCAACACTTCTCTACTTGTACTTGTAATTGTAATTTTACAAATTTTATGCTGAAAATATAATTTGTAGTTGTAATCGAGTACAATATTTGACAACTCACAACTAAGCCCAATTTGATTTAATTTATTCAGTCAAAAAACAGTAAAAACTGTATGTGACGTAGGGGGAAATTGCTTTTTTAACATACTTTTCCCATCTCTGTATAACACATGTATGTCAGGCTTCTCTTAAAAGTAGCAGCTTATCATTATCAATACACATTAGGCTTATTTTTTATCCTACACCAATCATACTCATCTCATAAAAGAGAAGGGCTGAAATATCCATCACTGATTTAATGACAAGAATGTGAGCCTTATACACATACTACCATAGCCCTACAGGAAATTTGAAATCTTTTTAAAAAATCCTGAAGTTATTCCAACAAAACTTAGAAGTCAATATAAAAGAATTCTTTGCAGTGATTCAAACATAAATTGCCTCACTTAATTGAGTAATGAAAATTTATTCAAAGACCTAGTAAAATTCAATCAAACCATGATAAATATCAAAGTATCCAAAAACAGTTGCAGCACTGTAGATCAATAGATGCAAATAACCTTACTCCTTCTGTAGTTATGTGTACCACAGGCTTCAGTGACCATACTGACCTGATTCTAAAACTTGAAACAGAATCAGAAATTACAAAACAAACAACTTACCAAGAAACTCGTAACTGTTCCTAAAGAAACATAATGAAATTTCATAATTTCTTAAAATATAATTAACTTCTGTTAAAGTTAGTTAAGTCTCCAATTGTACTATGCAAAATGTAACTTCTAATTTGAACTTGTTTAAAGCTTTTTATTTTTTACTTATTGAATTATTGTTGTTGTTTCTTTTACAGAACTTGTCAATGTCACTTTTGGCTACAACCTACTCACATTCATAATTTTGTTCAACAATCTTGTCCCAATATCCTTGCAGGTTTCTTTGGAAGTAGTACGTTTTATGCAGGTAAAGTGTATTAAAAGTCTTTACTAGTAAAATAGTGAGTCAATATTTTTTAATCTTAAGTGTAATATTTTGATTTTAGGCAATTTTCATCAATATGGACATTGATATGTACCATGAAGAAAGTGACACTCCTGCAATGGCTCGCACATCAAACCTGAATGAGGAGTTGGGTCAGGTAAGAAAAAACAAGTAAATCATGTTCAAAGTTAAGTTTAGTTGTTGAAATTGTTACTTTAAAATATATTTATCAATTATCGTGAAAACCTTATTTTTGAAAGCAATTGAAAGTTGGAAAAAAAAAAAAATTCTCAAAGACTATTTCCAATTCAATAATTCTTATTTACTCAACACTTCTTTATTTGATATTCTGCAATATTTATCCAACCTTTTCCATTCTTTAATAAATACTGTAGAACTTTGTTACTCTGTCTATTTAAAATTCACTTATTGTATTGTAAAATTGTTTATTGTAATATGATTAAATATTTATTAATTCCAGGTTAAGTACATATTTTCTGATAAGACTGGTACTTTAACAAGAAACATAATGGACTTCAAACGGTGTTCAATTGCAGGACAAACATATATTCCAGAAGAGAACCCTCAGGAATCAGAGCTAGTCAAAGTAGGAATTCCCTAGTTTTTCTTTCATTTTTCCTGTGTAGAGGTAGTTAAAAATAGCAAATAAAGTAAACATTTATTTTGTACTGATAAATGCATTTTTAAATTCTAGAATCTCAATTCTGAACAACCTTTTGCAAATGACATTAGAGAGTTTTTAGTTCTGATGTCTGTGTGCCACACAGTTATACCAGAAAAGGCAGAAGAAAATTACAAATACCATGCTGCTTCCCCAGGTGAATTTACTTCATTATTATTTCACAACGTTGTTATTGATAATAAGCATAGTAAAAGCAAACGAGAAGCAACAAAAGATTCATTCTAGTTGACTGTTTAAATTGTACATTAATTGTAAATGGAGAAATGAACTTGTTTCTTATTAGAAAGGTGTATCAAAATAATGATCTTAATAAGAAAAGTGTTTTGAAATACTGTAATGATCGTAATAATTATGTAATTAAAAATTACATAATAATGAAATCAAAAAATGAATTAATGAAACCAAAATATTAATAACGGATATTTATTAAAAACAATGGAAATAATATAAAAACAATAATATAAATATTGTCCTTCGAGAGAGTCAATAAGAAAACTGATTTGTGATTAATTGTGTTGTTTCTCTCATGTTGTTTTGTTTGAAAACCTCCATTAAATGTGGATCCAAGCTCAAATGTGTTACTAGTAGATATAATTGTTTTTTCTTTTTCTCTCCCCTCTCTCTCTCTCCCTGTCACCCCTCTCTTTCCCTCTCGCTCCCTCTCTTTCTCTCTCCCTCTCTCTTTCTCTCTCCCTCTC